GTGGAAAATGCAAGATGGCCGAAATCCATAAATTTTAATGTGGAGAGGGATTTGAGGGGTGGGAGTATGGAATTAGCTAATGAAATATGATAGGAAAGATGATGGGGTCGTTAATGTGGTACAAATCGTATGACATCTAAAAGAGCCATGTAAAGAGAAATATGTGAAGAATTGTCTGCCTACGTTTCATCGTTAAGCTGTAAACACAGACAGCATAAGGTGTGGTTAGGAGTGGGAATCATCAGTACAGCCCCGGTGTTCATGGCAAGAATTTAGCTGTTTGAACATTGCCACCTTGCTTTGGACATCGCCATTCCTGACTCACAATAAGATAATTTATCGACGAGTGGAAGCGGTAGGATGTGTGTTTGATACTTTACCACGCTACGAACTGAAAGCGTGTTTCTACGCAAAATGTTTTTTTTTTTTGATTTCTGAAGAACTGCTATTTTTATCATATTATCCTTTTGCCAAACTCAATTTTTGAAGTAGCGATTTTGTGTGATTTTGAGTTGCACAGTTGGCAGATTGCTGACAATTCTTTTTCTCACCTTAGTATATTTTGTTAAAATAGTCGGAAGGCTTCAAATTCAGTTCGATATTGGTGTAATTTGACTTTTATTTTACTGATGGAATTTGAACTAAATTTTATTTTTGAGTTAGATTTTAATTAAATTTTATGAAGTTTTTGAGTTAAATTTTGTGCTATTTGGAAATGATTTTACTTTTACTTAATGAGTAGACATATTTTCGATCTTTTTTTGAGTTTTTGAAGTCAAATTCAACTTTATGAAATTACAGGTGGCGCCAAAGCAGAAATTTCCTCATCGCAATCAAATTTTGCCTCTTCTGATGTACGTGCTTGTTTACTGAATCGGAAACTTGGGCAGTCCAGTGATCTTGTGGGGCATAGTAGCGATAGCGAAAGGAAGGATGGAATTCAGGAAGCAAATGGTGCGCATGGAGAAACCCGTCGACACTTGACAAAATCAGCACGGGCAATTCGACCAGCTCCTGCACCCCCAATGCCACCAATTGTCAAGTTGAAACCACCGATTCCGGCGCCACGACGTTTTCCATCGGTTACCAGAGAGCCGAAATCAGTAAGTTTTACTTGCTATATTCATACGGGAAATCACTATTAACATTCCGTATTAATTGGTAGAACCTTATTCAGTTTAGTAATTGAATTTATTGTTGAAACGAAATACAGCACACTGAATGAATTGTAGAGGGACCATGTGCGAAGATGTCGAGCTTTGTACGACTGTAGCGCTGATAATCCGGATGAATTATCTTTTCAACAAGGCGATATAATTGTTGTTACGAAAGAGAGAATTGCCGGTGAAGACGATACATGGATGGTGCGTTTTTATTAAATGTTTGATTTTAAAAAATGAAAAATTATTTTTGTGTCCATTGAGTTCTTAGCAGTCATTTTTTTTAACTTGCTGCACAATTGTGCTGCATGCATTATCATAATACCAAGAGTAACAGCTTTTAATTCATTGGCCTGATTTAACAGTTTCCTCCTATATTAGGTAAAAATTTTCCAACTGTGACGGTTCCACATTTTTCATGCTTCGGGCCGGACCGCTTTTTTCACAGATTACGGTTCGGCCCACCAATGGCCGCAAATTACTTTAACAAATTTATCCCACCCTTCGTTTTAACTTTCTGATTCCGCCTCCTTCCCCCTCCCCACGCCCCCGCATTTTGATTTCTTTGCGCCTTCTACTTGATTTAAGGTTACGATTTGGCCTTCTAACGGCCATAATTTATTATTTACATATTGTTTAGCTAGGAACTTTTTCAAATTGCTTTGACCAGTACTGCATCGCTTGGTGATCAGTCCGCTGATAAGACAAAGTTTGTTTCATCTGAACAAACTACTTGCGCAGCGGTTCCCTCAGTTAAAAAAACTTGGCGAGGCATTAGCTATTCTGAGATTTTTCTGTGTGCGTTGGTTCATCACCATTTTTGCCTTGGAACACGACAGCAGATGAACTGGGCATTTGCAGAAGGATGGTTGTAGATTTCGTCAGCCTGGATTTGAAAATGCCCGACTCGGCACTGATAGAAAATAGTAGAAGAGATGGATTGGACTAAGTGTCACGTGTAAGAAGACATTTTATGATGCAGCCTGTGTTTCATCCCTTGAAATCCCACAGTTTTATATCCCACGAAATTCATTGATTACAAAATAGTGAAGCATTCTGCACGGATTGGTTATCAAAAGAGCAACTTTATCACCTTCCTGACGGAATAATGTTCTTCGTGACCGTGAGGGCATATCTCAAAAGTCCCTTGAGTGTGATAAGCTTCATCGACTTTTCGTCACAGTCAGCCTCTTTTCACGTCTCTTAATAATCACATCTTTAACCGATGCGCTCTAATTTATCAGTTTTTATATAAATTTAATTTTGCCGGTTCTTATAATTTTAATTGACAGTCTTATATAGTTTTAATTTAATAAAATTTTAATTTTTTTTTAAATTTCTTATTCTTTTAATTCTGAATTTTGATTACAAATTTTTTGATAACTATTTAAAATTTAATTTGTAATATTACTTTTATATGATTTTAGTTTATAACTTTTTATCCATTTTAATGTAATTTATTGATTTTCAGGAG